TCTCTCTATCCTACTTCTGCACAGTAAATGCTCCTTGAGTTTGCTTTCCCTTGTTTTAATCACAGAGAGCCTTGTGCTTCCGTGATTTGCGTTGGGCCTGGTGAATTTCCCAGCATTGGCCTTGGGTGGAGAGCTGCCAGCCGTGCAGAGAAACTGCTGGGGTTTTTGCCGAGGTAGCAGAATTTTGGTGGTGGAGTATGACATTCGCCTCTCAGAAATAATACCTTTCATTTAAGGTAGGAGAGGAGGTTTGACATCCCATGAAAATATGATTTTCAGCCCTGTTCTGCTTGGGGTACAGTTTTTCTGCAGGGCCTAGTTGCTGAACCAGGGAATGAAAGTCCCTGACTAGGTGGTGGTAGTCCATGGGCCACTACGGAGGACTCTTCCCATTCTGGGGCTGCAGATGGGGAGATCCTACTTTCTGACTATGGCTCTCTTGGGGGTCTAGTTTGTTTTTGTTTGTTTGCTTGTTTTGGTACTAGAAATTGAACCCAGGAGTGCTTAACCACTGAGCAATATCCCTATTCCTTTTTAATTTTTTATTTTGAGTCAGGATCTTGCTAAGTTACTCAGAGCCTTCCAGTCTGGTTTCAACTCTAAAGTTTGTTCCTTCTAGGGAACACAGTGTGCACCTCACCATCCTGAACACTGAGACTAGAATGATATTATTGGTGTTTAGACAAATTGTTTGATACATATTCAACACCATGCCAATTCCTAAGTTGTGATGTAGAATTCTATATTAATTCAACCAATAAATAGTTTTTAAACTTTGTACTGCCTAGGTCCTGAGCCAGGCACTGAGGATAGGAAGAACAAGACGTGGAACCATAGCTGGGCACGGTGGTGCGCACCTGTAATCCCAGCAATTTAGGAGGCTGAGGCAGGAGGATAGCAAGTTGAGGACCAGCTTCAGCAACTCAGTGAGGCACTAAGCAACTTAGTGACACCCTGTCTTAATATTAAAAATATAAAGGGTTTGGGATGTGCCTCAGTGGTAAAGTGCCCCTGGGTACCAAAAAAAAAAAAAAATGGGATGCTAATTAGAATAAGTTATATTCTAAATATGTGTAATATGTTAAAATACACTCTACTGTCAAGAAAAAAAGAACAAAGAAAAAGAAAAAAGAAAGATGTGGAAGCTTCAAGGAGCTCAGTATCCTACATGTACGATTTTGTTTTTGTTGCAAGACTCTCAATCCAATCCATTTTAATGCTGCTGTAGTGAAAATGTAGACTGGACACCATAGGAATACATGGGGGAAAAGACTAAGGACCTTTGCCCAAGAAAGAAGGTGGAGGGCTTTCCTGAAGATGCAATGCTTAAGCTGAGCTTTGAAAGTTTTGTCTGATAAAGGAATGAACTAAACCATCACCACAACAAAGAACAGCTACGATTTGTTAAGGATTCTAGTATAATAACCACAATACCTAACCTTATGGAACAATTACTATCTGCCAAATACTTTGCATAATTTATCTCATTTGATCCTATAGTAACCTTCCAAGAGAATATATTTTGGGGGGTTTTGAACTCAGGGTCACATCTCAAGCTCTATTTTGTATTTTATTTAGAGACAGGATCTCACCGAGTTGCTTAGTGCCTCGCTTTTGCTGAGACTGGCTTTGAACTTGCGATTCTCCTGCCTCAGACTCCCAAGCTGCTGGGACTACAGGCATGTGCCACTGTGCCCGGCTGTAAGAGGGATATTTTTGATACCTCATTTTATTATTAAGGAAATAAAGATTTTGAGGGAGTTTATAAAGATACATACTCTGCTAGAGTCACATTATTATTAAATGATAGGTAATCAAAATTTGAACCCAGACTTTTGAAGCCAGAACACGAGTTCTTTTTCTTCCACTCTCCTACTTCCCAAAGCACTAGACAAATGTCAACTCATGAAATCCTCACAGTAGTCCAGAAAAATAGGTACACTTGTCCTCATTTTCCGGAGAGAAGATTGGTGGTGCCCTAGGGTGATCTATGGTGTGCAGAGGGATATATGAAGCAGAGCTTGTTCGGAAACTTTCAGAAGGAACTCCCGTGGATTCCTGCAGATCCTCATTCTACCTTCCCAGCTCTTCAGAATAACTGCTCCAGGTCTCAAGTTCTCTGTGGTTAAGATGTAGAGTTTGGGGTGAGAAGTGGAAGGTAATGAGGTTGGTGGTAAGTAAATGTCCCCATCCTAATCCCCAGCACCTGTGACAGTGTTGGGATACAAGGCAAAGGGGTTTGCTGATGGAATTGAGGTGACTCATCAGTTGACCTTGAGATGGGAGATTATTTTGGATTGTCTGGGTGGGCCCAGTGAAATTGCAGGGTTTGGGGCTGGGGCTGTGGCTCAGTGGTAGCGTACTTGCCTGGCATGTGTGAGGCACTGGGTTTGATTCTCAGCACCACATATTAATAAATAAAATAAAAGTCTATCAACAACTAAAAATATATTTAAAAAAAAACAAAGAAATCGAAGGGTCCTTATAAATGTAAGAGTGAGAACAAGAGAAGACCGTGTAAGAGGGATTCACCCTGATATTGCTGGCTTTGAGGACCGACAAAGCTGAAGACAGCAAGTGGCCTCCAGATGCCGGAGAAGACAAGAAAGAGGATGCTTCTTAGAGCCACCAGCAAGGAACACAGCCAATGTCACTGTTTCAGTCCAGTGAAACTAACGTCAGACTCCAGAACTCCAGAACTATAAGAAAATAAATTCCTGTTATTTTAAGCCAGGAAGTTTGTAGCAATGAGTTCTAGCAGCGAGAGTTGGGAAATAGGAAGAGTCAGCTTGCAAAAGATCTTGTGGACTGGACTAAAGAGTTCAGTCTTTAATTGATCAGTCTTAAAAACCTTAAGGATGGAGACCTCAACTATAAGGAGTCTGACCCAGATCAGCTTAGCCTGAGGAGATGAGGCCGAGTCTCCTCAGGAGTCAGGCTTAGCTAATTGTTCCGGGTCACCCAGGTCCACGTGTTCTTTGGAGAATTAGGCAGTAGAAGATGACTGTGACTTGATCTTAAGAATATCGACAGGAAGTGAGAGGCTGGAAAGCCAGTGCTGTGGTAGGCTGCATCAGCTGAAAGGCACATTCTGGGGCATGGGTTGCTTTTACGAGGGTTTATTCATTCAACAATTATTAACTATTGGCCTACTATAGATTAGTTTTTTTCCCATATTTTTAATCCGTGCATTATAGTTGTACAAAACGGTGGGACTTGTTACATGTTCATATGTCCATGCTATGTAACAACATAATTTGGCCAGCATCTTTCCCCAGGATTTCCCCTTTTCCTCCCCTCCCCCTCCTCCTGGGTTCTTTTCCTCTGCTGCTTCTTTTTTTTCCTTCCCCTCTTTAGCTCCCACATATGAGAGGTAACAATCTTGACTTTCTGAGTTTGGCTTATTTTGCTTAACCTACTGTAAGTTTCATCCCTTTTTCTGCAAATGACATAATTTTATTCTTTATGGCTGAATAAAATTCCATTGTGTTTATATACCACATTGTCTTAAAGCATTCATCCATTGGTGGACATTTAGACTGGCTCCATAGTTCGGCTCCGGTGATTGTGCTGCTATAAACATGGGTAGATCCTAGATACTATGGCAGGTATGATGGTGTACAAATATGTTTTCTATTATATCTACCATGGAGCTTATAGTTTCATGACAGTAAGATATCATATAAGAAGTCACAAATTAGGTGTGTAGTTACAAATTGCAGTTTAGTCTTATAAAGCAAAAGGGTAGGGTGTGCTGAGATAGTATACAAGGAAGACGGCATTTATACTGGGGGTTTCATGGAAGATCTCTCTTGAGAGATGACATTTGAAATGAGACCCATGCATGAGATCGACTTTGTTGGGAGATAGTTTTAAAAAAGAGCAATTTCAAGGGATGGGAGCAGCATGTTTGAAGGTTTGTGTCTGGTAGGAGTATGTGGTAATCAGGGAACTCAGAGAAAGTCTGTGATCCTGGAGAGTGGTGCTTGATGAAGAGATGGTACAGGATGTCGCTGGAGAGGCATTAGAGTGTGGGACTCTGTGGGCCCCTTTAAGGATCTTGGACATAATCCTGAACAATATGGACAATCACTGAGGGAGAACAAAGTGACATGACCTGGTATGGACTTTATGAAGATCAGTCTGGCTATAGTGTGGAGAATGTTCTAGAAGAGCATGGACAGCAAGTAAAGAGAACAAGGAGGAGGCCATGCAGTGGTCAAGACAAGAGACTTGTCTTGGTGACTTAGATAAGAGTGATAGTGCTATCATAACTGGGTAGATTTAACATTATTTTGAAGATAGACTCCTCCAGAGTTGGGAATAAGTTTAATAAGGGAAGTTAGGAGAAGGGTCAGAAATAACCCCCAGATTGCTGGCAGAATGACTAACTGGATGGAGGTGTCATTTATTGATATGAAACAGGTTGCGGGAGGAGAGATTTTGATGAGGGAGAACTCCAAGGGTTTTGTTTTGAATATATTAAGGGACCTTTTAAGATACGATTTTAAAGAAGGTAAGTCATTAGACAGACAAAATTGGCACTCTAGGGACTGGGGTTGTGGCTCAGCTGTAAAGCACTCGCCTAGCATGTTTGAGACCTTGGGTTTAATCCTTAGCACCATATAAAAATAAATAAAAAAAAATAAAGGTATTTTGTCCAACTACAATTAAAAAATGAATATTTACAAAAGAAAGATTGATACTCTGAAATAAGGCTGAGGTCTGGGCATATATATAAATTTGAGAAATTTTAGTATAGATACTAAAAAAAAATAGGGAAAAAAGATGAGGGCCCAAGACCAAATCTGGAGGAACTCTAGCATTTGTATTTTAGTATTGTATATACAATATCTCAGCAAGTGTTCCATTTACTCCCCAATATTTTCATTTCCCATTGTAGTTAGGTGGGGCCTTGTGATTACCTCTAATTAAAGAAGTATGATGGAAATGACAGTTAAAAATTCTATATATGATTTTCAGTCTCTCTCTCTCTCCAGGTACAAGTTGTTGGAGCTTATGTTACCTGAGTCCCTGAATGACCATGTGGAGCAGATTGCCTGCAGTTACGTCCTGGCCATGTTGTATTAGGTGGGAACAACCTCATCTTATATTAAGCTGCTGAGATTTAGGTTGTTTGCTATGCAACCTAATCTATTCTATTCTTATTAATTCAAATAAAGAAACTGCATAACATAGTTTTGAACAGTATAGACACATGATCCAAGCTGTCTGTTCCACTCTTGTCTTTTGCAGTTACTAGCTAAGTCAGTCAGAAAAAAATTTCTCTGTGTTTCTTAGTTCTCTCATCTAGCAAAATGGAGAAAATAATGTCTATGTTATGGGTTTGTTTTGAGGACTAAGGTAATTAAAAAACAGAAAGCTCAGAATTGCATAAATAGTAAGTTTTGTTTAAGAAAGAAGAGGCTGCACAAAGCCAGCAAGAGGTTAGGAGAAAAACAGGAGAAAGTGAGCTCACAGGAACAGAAAGAGTGTTTCAAGAGGAGAGAAGCATTCGCTTGGCAAATGCTGATGCAGAGTCAAGTAGATGGAGACACCAGAGTGCCTGTGAGACTTTGTAATCTGTGGGTCACTGATGCTCTGAGCAAAAGCAGTGTCAGTGGTGCGTGGGCGTGTGTGCAAAGGAGCAGCTGTGGAAGACACAGTGCTGTGGGTTAAAATGGAGAAAGCATCTGTTTCCATGCCCTTGGGGCAGCTTGGCTGGGAATGGAGAATACAGAGATGAGGTGATTATTAGAAGTGAATATAAGACAGGAAGGTTTTATTTGATTTTATTCAATTTTGGGGGGTAGGATTGAACCCAGGGGCACTGTATCGCTGAGCCACATCTGCAGCCCTTTATTTTATTTGAAGACAGGGTCTTGAGAAATCGCTGAGTCTGACCTCAAACTTTAGATCCTCCTGCCTCAGCCTCCTGAGTTTCTGGGATTACAGGGCTGTACCACTGGCTTCCCACCAACACTTTGATTTTGAGATGGGAGATTCTACAGCATATTTAAAGAGTGAAGGGAAAGTTCAATCAGGGAGGGGAAGTTGAAAATAAAAAGACATTGATCATTGTCACAAGTCCTTGTAGTGCTTTGAGCAAGTGAGATCTGGAACACAGGTAGTGGGACTGGCCTCCACCTCCATTGGACTGGGAACGAGGGACGGGTGGAGGGAGGATAGGGCAGGTGCAGAGAGGGTGATGAATTTGGGGGCAGGAAAAGGAGGAAGTGCTGTTTGATAAGAGTGGGACTGACATGGCTAAATGGGAGGTGGGAGGCTCTGAGTGAGGGGAAGTGGAAGGCTGTCCCCAGGAGGGAGGCTGAACAGAGGCCCCACTGCCCAGGTGGGCTTCCATTTGAAGGTGCCTGCCACAGCTCTGGATCTGAAGCTTATCCATAAGCTCAAAGCCAGAATCCTCTCTTCTCTCCATGAAGATGTGGGACATAGTTCTCTGCTAGAACAAGGTCCAGCTAGGGCTTACTAGTGGTGTTTGGTCCTCAGTTGGAATTTTCAAACTGGTTTCCCACCTCTCCTCCACATGAGCATTCCTTTAGAAACTGTTCTGTTCCAACTGTTCTCTCTCTTGAGATTTTGTTGAGTCCTTGTGAACAGATCCCCTGCCTCATGGGACTTTACCCATATGGAACGTTTTCTGCACCATCTCCTCTCAACCAAATCCAAATCACCTTTCTAGGCTACACTCAGGCCTTGGTGCAGGGTCTCCACCCTGTCATCCCACAGTGACCTCCCCTGCGGTGTTCCCACATCACTTGGTGTCTCCCTCCTCCTACTGAGGATAACAGGCTCATGGCCATTATCCCCAGGGCTGCTCTGTGTGCTCCTTGTGAGCATCTTTCTCACCATTGTACAGTTCACATCTGAGTATCTACCAGTGCACCATGCATGGCCCACGAAGAAAGGTCTCCATGTCTTCAGTGTGGTCAAAGATGGTGACTAGACATCTTTAAGCCTCCTGTGATGCCTCACTTGTAATAGGTGCTCACTAAATATGGGTTGATAGATTTGCTGGAGTGAGGAGGAGGGAAGAAGTTTAAACGATAGGATGCCAAGGCTCCAGCTGGATTCATTTTTCTAACGGGCAGCATTTTCCTTAAGCCACTAAGCCTAGATTGCAACATCTTCAAATCAGTGAGACAAAGAACTCCATTCACACCCCACCCTGCCCCCACTCCCCCGGAGTGAGCCAGAGAAGGACTCTTGTCTATAGGATCCATGGTGACCTTTGGATATTGGGGAATATTGCCAGCGCTAATAAAGTCCTTGTATGTCGGTAGGGCTTGCTAATTCCCAGGAAAGAATGTTGACAGTGCTGGGCTGGGGCAGGCAGTCCCAGGCAGAAGATGAAACATGTTTGTGCAGAAGGAGGGGAAAAGATGTGGGTCCCCTGGGCTGTCAGCCAGAATCTACACCTCTCTGCTGGTTTCCCCTCCTGGACACTCCCAGGAGGCATGTGCTGTGTGGGCAGGCACTTTAAAACAGCAGTGTGTGCTTGCTTTGTTTGGCTTTGAATGCAGTGCCCTGCAGGTATGTAGTAGGTGTGCCCACCTGGGGCTTTGGGGGAACCTGGAATCATGCTCAGGTGTTTGAATGGAGGCAATTGTGCTGGAGGGAGCTGTCAAGCTCTTCCACACCTCAGCCCTCACCTTCGGGACCTTGGGGTCACCCACTGCATGTGGGCGGTTAGGCGATAAGCTAATAATGCTGGGAACAAAACCAAGCCAGACAGAATCTGAAGATCAGTGAAGAGACCTGCCATCCTCCACTCCATCCTTGGCTCCTGTTTCTATTCCTGCTTTTCCCTCCCTCTCCCCTTCCTTCATTATCCAGAGCCCTTGTTCTTCAGAAGTGGAATCCTATGCAAAGGGAAGTGGGCATTATTCTAACAAGAGGAGAAGTCCTCATTGGCCAGCAGAAAGAAGAAAGCACCGTAGGTGCTCGGTGACTGCAGGTGAACTGTGGAAGGAAAGAAGAGCTGGTGCCAACGAAGCCATGCCCAACTGGTTCCTTGAACATGGGCTACTCTCTGGAAGGATGTCTTCAAAAAGGAGCAAAAGGAATTGTTGAGGGGACTCACAAAGCCATGCTGTCAGTTCTTTCAAAGAAAGAATTTCATCCTCCGAGAGCCCACTTAGAGTGAGAAGGGCCATCTTGGTGAGGTAACCTGCTCTGTCGGTCGCTAGTCCATTCCCTCACTGATGGCTTCATAGCCTGCCTCCCCACGTGGTTCCCTCTGCGCCCTGCATGCTCTCCGTGCCCCCTGTGCCCCAGTAGGTCAGCAGGCTGTCTCTTCCATTTTTGTCTGTTTCAGCTAACAGGTCTCCGACAGGCAGGCAGTTGTGGCTCAGCAGGGTCTTTCCCTTCCCAGGAAGATGGCCATGTCCACAGAGAGGCTGCCTCTCTCCTCCCTGGAGGGTCCTGAGTGTATGAATCAGAGCCTGGGTTTGGAGACCATGTGGTCACACCCCAGGGTGCAGCTGACATGGAGCCTGCTCTGATTTAGGAGAGGAAGAAAGTGCTCTCAAAATCACAGATGGAAATTGCTTACGTCTCTGTCCTCCTTGATCCCTCACTTACTGGAAAGGAACAGAGAATTCTGAACATATCCTTTCTAAGGAGATGCTCCTGGCAAACTCTCTTCCAGAGTCTGAGAATTAGAGTCCATCTGAAGCTTGCAATTCAGTTGCTCCAACAGCGAGGGACCTTCGGGTGGGCTGGGGAGTTCACCCAGGGTTTATAGTCCATGCTTTCCTCTGATTTTTCATCCTTGCCAATCTGGGAGCCTGAAATGGGTTTTAATAATGGGGGGTCCTTTGTGTTCCGACTGTAGAGGTGATTTGTGGGTTTCCTGACTTCACCTCTTCATTGGCAACCCCCAAAATGAGGCTGACGGCAGAGGAGAGGAAATGAGGGAGGAGGAGGGGAGTCGAGATGGGTGTGTTCAAGTGAGGCTGAGAGTCCCTATTTTCTCCATTCCTCCCACAAATGACCTCATTCATTATGGAAAAGGTTTAACTGATATTGAGTCATAACATGTGAGAGGGAGCAGGAGCTCCGTCGATACCTCTCGGGAGCACCTGGAGGCTGTGGATTGCAAGGGGGAGGTAGATGAGGAGGGAGCTGAGGGGGAGGAGAGGAGGTGGGTTAGAAGATGATCTGGCCTGAGAAGTGGCTCTGGAGCATCTGTGCTTTTGTTAGCCATGGAATATGCACATCTAATCTCAATTAACTTCTGCCACCATCTCCGATTCAGCTTCTCTGTTCAGGCCGGTGACGAGACCTTAGCTGCAGGAGACAGGGATGGGGGAGACCTCCCATTACCTAGGTGAGAGAAGCAGATGGGCTCACCTTGCCAGGGCACTGGTGGTGGAGAAGAGGCCGAGGCAGCAGCTGGGTTATTTCCCCAAGCTCTTGCCCCGCCCGCAGCTTTGTGAGTCCAAGCTTATGGGAGGAATGAAGTGGAGCCTCCTAACAAGTGCCATTTATGCACAAGAAAAGTATTGTAGGAATGAGCCTCCAGGTTTTCCCTGTGAAGCCCAATGGATGAGCTTGCCCGGGGCCCAAGAGCTACTTTTATGGGCTTTGGTTTCCTCTGCTGAACAAAGAATTTGATCAAGGATTCTACAATTGCATCATCCACATTTGGTAGCTCGGAGTGACATGTGGCTATTTGAATCTGAATTAATTAAAATTAAATTTATTAAAAGATTCTGCCACTCACACTACCACATTTCAAACGCTCCACAGCCCACATGTGGCTAGTGGCTACTAGGTCAGGCAGACTGAATAGAAAATAAAAAAAAATACCATCCTAAAATTTTGTTGGACAGTGTTCATATACAAGGTTCTTACAATGCTGCCACTGTGTTATTCTATCATTATCCATTATTAAGAGTCCTGCAGGACTAGTTCCTTTGGCTTTGTGAGCTTCCTCTTCCCACCAGCTCCTCTCAGCTGCTACCACATACGCAGCACACAGTACACACACAGACAGATCACACGTGAGCACACGCACACTGCTGTCTTCCAATAGGGCAGTGTTGAGAAATCTGGTTTCCTGGCTTAGGAACACCGAGAAGAGATATCTGCACTCTTGTTTTTATTGCGGTATTTTCACAACAGCCAAGTTATAAAAACAACTTCCATGTCCATTGGCAGATGAAGCAAAAGAGAAAAATGGTGGTGTATATACTCAAGGGAAAACTACTCATCCTTAAAAAACAAGGAAACTTGGCCACTTGCGACAATGTGAATGAACCCGGAGGACATTATGATAAGGTGAAATAAAGCAGACACAGACAAATATTGCATGATCTCACTTGTATGTGGAACCTAAAAATGTCAAATGCACTGAAACAATACGGTTACCAGGGACAGGGGAGAGGGAAAAGACGTGTTTGTCCACGAGTACAAACTTTCAGTTGTAAGTTCTGAAGAGCTAACATACGGCCTGGTGATTCTAGTTAAAGTAGTATAGACTTAAAATATACTTTGATAAAAGATATATAACAAGAGGCCACTGTGTATACCTTAAATGCACACATTTTTATTTGGAAAATCTCAAAAAAACTGTCAGCTACAATGGCCCATGCCTGCAATCCCCAGAGCCTCAGGAGGTTGAGAAAGGAGGATTGCCAATTTAAGGCCAGCCTCAGCAACTTAGCGAGACGACACTGCCTCAAAATAAAATTTACAAAATGGCTGAGGATAGAGCTCTGCCCCTGGGTTAAATCTACAGTGACACGCACACACAGCACCAGGGGGAGAAAAGAATAACTCTTGCGTGGGTGCAGCTCCTGACTTCTTAATGTTAGACTTTGTGCTTCCTATACTTCGCCCTTACAGATGTTTTCTGAGTGCCTACTGTGTGTCAGGCATCATTCCCAGTGGACTGGGGTGTGGAGTTTGGGGGAGATCCTGTATTTTAGGTAGTTCTTTTGCAGGAGAGTCAGTGCTGGGAGTGTTGGCGGCCACTTGCTCGTAATGGCAGAGAGTGGTGCAGGCACAGCCTTGGCCTCTGGGGGCTCGCTCTGTACAAACAACTCCTGACTCCGTAAACCCTTTACATAAACAACACGGAGGCTGCACCACACTGGTGGTTATAGACTGTGATGAGTACCTTATTGGAGTCATGCCAGTGTGTCCTGCAGGGGCAGATGAAAGAAAGGCACTGTCCCTCTGGGCCTCAGTTTCCCCCTGCAAAGTGAAGTGGGGGGCTTGGCAAGCGCTAGGATTCTCTTGCTAAGGTTCTCTCCTCTAGGACTGGAGATGTCTGAAAGCTCTGCAGAGGAAAGGGCTTACTACCTGCGAGTTGCAGGTTACATGGGTTTTTCTCTATTTCCCAACAGTGCTGCCCTTTACTTCTTTGAAATCCTGAGGAGGCCTAGAGGCTCTTGCCTTTCTCCGGGCCTCCCTCCTTGCTTCCCTCCCTCCTTTCAGGTTGCACAGCCCCAGCCTAGTTCTTGTCATATTTCCTACCGGATCGGGCGTTTAATTAAAATCATAATTAAAATTGATCTCCTCATTAGCATGCACCTGCTCTGCCTCTCACATCCTTGCGTTCCATTATCCACTGAAGATGTCAGGACTGACAGGCGAGAGCCAGACCCCAGGCCAGCCCAGCCGGATGGGGCTGGCCGATGACAACATCTGGATGGAAGACTTCAGCGGAGAAGCTGCGTTTGCAATCGAACAACAAACAACGACCACTGGGAGGGCTGTCTGGGGGAGGCTGGGCTGTGTGGTGGGCTGCCGGCAGCCAGCTGGATCTGGTGGTCCTACTGGAAGCAGAGCTCTCACTCCTTCCTCCTTACCCGTAACCGTGTGCACCTGCGTGCACACGCGCGGACACATACACCTTGGGTGATCTGTGACAAGCCAACAGACTTCTTGCCTGGGCGTGTCTAGAGAACAGGCTCCCTGATTTCCTTGAGGCGGAACCTGATGGTACCCTCAAAGAGCCTCCTGCAGGGCTAGGTTTGACCTCCATCATGATTGCCCTCCAGGAGGCGCCACTGATCGAAGGGCAGGCAACCAGGCTGATGGCTGGCCAACCCCTCCTTCCTAGCTGAGAACAGTGCCGAGCGCAAAGTGCAGAAGTGTCAGGTCTGAGTGTGCAAAGCAGGAGAGTCCTGACAGCTTGTTGCCATCTTCCCTCCAGGGAAAGTGGAGAGGGCCAGGTGGAGGAAACCAGCAAGGACATAACCTAGTGGGCCTTCCAGCATGCAAGAAGGCAAGCTCCACGAGAGTGTGAGCATTTAAAAATACGTCAATTTAATTGTGGTAAAAAACACAAACATTTACTGTCTTAACCACGTCTAATGGCACACTTTGGTAGTGTTAAATATATCATATTGTTGTGCAACTAATCTTCAGAACTTTTTAATTTTGCGAAGCTGAAACTCTGTTCCTGTTCTTCCTATCTCCCAAGTAACCACTGTTCTACTTTCTAAAGTTTTTATTAATTTGACTACTCTAGGTATACCTCAGGTAGGTGGAATCACATAGTATTTATCTTTTTTGTGTGTGTGACTGGCTTATGTTACTTAATTTAACGTCCATAAGTTTCCTCCATGTTGTGGCATGTGCCAAATTTTCCTCTTTAAGGCTGTGTAATATTCCACTGTGTGTATACATATATATGTGTGTATATATACATGTTGTGCATATACATATGCACAACATTATATCTATATCTATATCTATAGCTGACATTTTCTTTAACCACTCATATGTTGATGGACACTTGAGTAACTTCTACCTCTTGAATACTGGGATTAAGAAGATGGATGTGCAGTATTTCTTCAAGACCCTGTTTCCAGTTCTTTATCTGTATACCCAGAAGTGGGATTGCTGATTCATGTGGTAATTCTATTTTTAATTTTTTGAGGAACTGTTGTACTGTTTCCATAGCTGCTGCACCAGTTTTCATTATTACTAGCCGAGCACATGGTTCTCATTTTTCTCTCTTGTTGCCGACACTTGTTCTTGTTCTTCTCCCACTGCCCCACTATGGCCATTGTATTGGATGTTAGGTGATATGTCATTGTGGTTTGGGTTTGTCTTTCCCTGAGGCTTAGTGATATTAAGCATCTTTCCCACATGTTCCATCATGTTTTGCAAATCCTGTGCAAGATTTGTATTACCAATCTAAGCCAAATTGACCTCACATGGGGGATGAAGGGAATTTAGGTTTGGGGTTGGAACTTCATTCATATCCCATAGCTCTGCCAGCTCATGGCCCGTGGTCCTGGGCAAATTACGTCTCTAAGCCTCAGTTTGTAAGCATGAGAAGTGGGAATCACAATATTTACCTAATAAGATGGTCTCAAGGAAGAAACGAGGAAACAGGCCCTATAATTGGTTATTCCTTTTCTTGTTCATCTTCCTAGTGACTCTGAAATTTTGATGATAGCATTCTACAAATGACAAGAACACAAGAACTTACTTTATCCCTTACGTAAAGCAAATGTGCCTATTGCACACATGTAAGGCACGGGCCCCTTCATCAGGGAAAAGGCTTGGGGTGACCAGGAAATGTGAGGCCAGAGCAAGGAGGGGACACCCGTAGCTGGAGCCACCTGAGTGGGTTAATCAGGATAGGCCAAGGGAGTACCCTGATGCGGGGAGGGCAAGCCTTGACTGGGATTGGGTTTCCCACCCAGTGGGGGTGAACAAGAGGGTGGAGCAGGGCAGAACAAGATGAAAACCGGTGAGGACCAATTTTACTGCAGAAGGATACGTGAAAATTATCCAGGGATGCAAAGCCCTATCACCAGGAGGAACATTTTCCTGTGGGCTACTTAAATTCCTTCTCCTGGAATTGAAATTTGTTTTCTCTCCTGCAGTCTTTGGGGAAGGAGAGAAATGCTAATTACCCTCCTCCATTACCCTTCATTGATTTAGGGCTGGGGAGCTCTGCCATGGCTGGGCTTCCTTCCCTCCCAACACTTCCCCCACCCGCCCATGGACTAACTAGGGCTCAGCCAGCGTCCAATAAGCAACAGGGCAGCTCTAGCTTACAGTGCTCCTCCAGAGTTCCTCCTCCCGCCCCTTCCACAGTCCCTCTCCTCCTTCACACCTCCTGTCTCCAGTGTCTGTCTTTGGGAGCTCAGGGCAGAGGTCACCCTCCAGGGAGAGATGATTACCCAATCCTGCCCAGGTGGGCTCACCTCTGCTCCTCCCTGGAGCAGCCAGCAGGCAGCCTGAGAGCCCTGGGAAGCCAGGTCAAGTGCAGACGTTGTAGGAGCAGGAGCCAGGGGGCCAGGTGTCCACCAGGGAGGTGATTAGCTCCACGGTGCCTCCAATGATAATCTGCACCGTGAACAAACAGCACCGCGGAGGAGGCGTCTGCAGGCCTGAGCGCTGGCTGTCTCTGTCCTTGTTAGGGTGAGAGGAGGAGGGAGACCTTGCTAATTGCCGACTTACCATGATTACCACCAGCTCCCAGCCCCGTGAGCTACAGGAGGCAACGCAAGGATCAGTGGAGAGACTTGGAGGGACTGAGGGATGGTGGACCTTGGGGACTCAACTTGCGAGAAAACCCTGGAATTCAAAAAGTCAGTTCATCCATCGATCCGTATTGACCAGCTGCAATGTCTTCTATAGAACCTACAGAGCAGGCTTGAATTTCATTTTTTAAAAGATGTGAGATGAGCCGACAGAGATGACTCTCAGCCTAACTCATCACAGGACCCCCCTTCAGGCTCACCCACGCTCGCGCTTGCGTGTGCACACACACACACACACACACACACACACACACTCATACGCTCTTGGCTCTGAGCCCTCCATGTTAGACACTCTATAAATATCCATCTCATTGAACTAAGATGGAAATTGGACCTGGAGAGAGAGAGGCTGTGGCTGTTTTCGCTCCAGCTGTCCTGGCTCCTTTGCTGTGTGGTCCTATGGCTCTCTGGGAAGGTGGAGGATGCAGAGGTGAGGCCGGGAGGACCTGCCTTAGCCACCATGGGGGCAGCAGCAAAGGCCAAATCAGTGCAAGGCAGGCAGGGCTTGGACAGACGCCCTGGCCAGCTTTAAAATGAAAGCAAGTGCCGAGCTTTAGGAGGATGGCAGGAGAACCCTGGCTAACCACACAGGACACACCCAGACCAAGCCCTGGGGACAGGAACCCCACAGACTGGGTGGGGAGCTGAGGTGTGGGCACCCGGGATCAATGAATGTTAATACAGGCAAATTTTGGCAATGCAGTCCTCTGAGGTTGGCTTCTGATTAAGAATGAACTAATCTGAGCCCTGTGGATGATAATTTTAAGACCTCAAAGGGGTCCCTGGAAATAAGAAGCTTTTTGGAGGATACTGTAAAGGAATGTAGAATTTTTCTCCCTGTTTGTTTGGGGGAAGTGTGTCATGTAGCCATCTCCCTGTTGGTCATGTGCAGTCTACTGTCTCTGACTTCTGGGAAGGGCATGGGGCCAGCAGTCCTTGCTGGCTGGCCCCATGCCGCAATTAGGCTGGGACCTACCCCATCTTCTGCAACTGCTTAGACTTTTCCTTAAACTCCCCCAGCCCCAATCCCCTCTGCCCTCACTTCTGTAAACTGCATTGCTGCCAACAATGGCTTGGAACCCCACCCCTTCCCTAGGTCCCCAAGTCTGACATCCCCTAAGATCTGATCTATGGCAGTAGGCTAGTGGTAGTTCCACAGAAAAATAATGAAAAGATGAATTATCATTTGTGACATTCCTAATATAAGTCAGGACCCTGAACCAAGCACTTAATACATGAGATACTGTATTTCCTTTTAACCATCTCATGAAGGATTGCTTAATCATTTTATAAGAACTGATTTACAAATGAGGAAACTGAGGCTCAGAAAGGTGGCAGAACTTGCCCCAGGTCACTCAGGTGCCAAGTTGCAAACCTGGGATTTGAACTCCGAGGCGTGTGTTCTTCCTCCTACAGGGGAAGGTCCAGTTCCTGGGCTTGTCCTTTCTCCTACTTGTCACAGTAGTTCAGGGTCTGGCCTGGATCCATCATTCCTCGCACCCTCCCCGAGCCTGGTCGCTAGCCCCAGATGCCAGAAGCGTGGTTCTTCACCCCGTGGAAAGCACTTCACCTTCACTGTACCCAAAGACCCACCATCAGTGCTCCTCGTCATGTGGCTTCTCTCTCCCTCTCTCTCTTTTTATGGTTTCATTATGAAACTAATGAAAAGAGACATTGAAGGAAGTCACTGTAATATCTTATTTTCTTCCCTTGTTTTTGGAGAAACAGAGTTAGACAACCTCAAAGCATTTTCCAAGCTGTCAGAGGGTAGTGGGGGCGGGGGGAATGCTGTGTTCTCTTCTACAATTGGTGCCCAAGTGAGAAGGCCAGAGAGGTTTCTCTGGGGGGTTCTGTCAACAGGATGTCCCTTTCTCAGGGCTCCATGCCCTTCCCTGGGGACCTTCACTTGGCTCATCTTTTCCCAGCCTCTTCCCCTAGTGGCCCTGCCCTGAGCACATAAGTCAGAGGTGGGCTCCAGCCTGGCCATCAGAGCTGGCCACTTGCCCACAGCACACTTCTACCCCGAATGGGCTGGCCCTTAAAGTGTCCCCTTGGTGTCTGGTGCTCTTCTGAATGCCTTATTGCATCCACCCATTCAATCCTCACGACAATCCTGCAGGCTGTGTATTGTTCCCATTTTACTGTTGAGAAAATGGAGACTCAGAAGAGCGAAGTGACTGTCCAGGGCCATGGCTGGCGGTAGGACATGGGCCTTGACTGCCTTGGGTCCACAGCTCAAGCTTGGGACTGGTTGCTGGGGACGCTTAGAGATGATTTCTGTTTGTTTGTTTTGTTCGTTGGCAGGCTGGCCTAGGAAACTTTCTACTGTGAAGAACGCGGCTCCACATGCCAAGTTCCAAACAGCTGATGTATTAATGAGCAGAGCTGTGGTCCTCCTGCTCTATTGTGCCCCCCTCAGCACTTGAACAAAAGGCAGGCTCCATGGGTGTTGGGTGGGTGGTGATTGAATTGAATTTTTACCCACAGGAAATTCCATGGGCTTCCACCACTGCTGAGGTTGGAAAAGGGGAGGAGGGACAGAGGTGTGGTGGTCTGTGAATGGGTGCCCCTCCCCGGTCGGGGGGAGTTCGTCCTAGAACACAGGCTCTGCTTATTCCTTGGGGGCAGTACTATTTTTTTAAAAAAATATATTTTTTAGTTGTTGATGGGCCTTTATTTTATTTATTCATATGTGGTGCTGAGAATCGAACCCAGTGCCTCACACATGCTAGGCAGGTGCTCTACCACTGAGCCACAACCCCAGCCCCAATACTGTTCCTTCCTTGCAGTGCTGAGGGTGGAACCCAGGGCCCTGCACATGCCAGGCAAGCCCATGCCACACCCCCAGCCCTCGGGTGGGTTTGAGGCAGGGATACATCTGACATTGGTGAAGCAGATGTGTACTCTCCTTCTCCACCTGGCACATCCTTCCTTCCTCTCCTTCACCCTGAGAACCTGGCCACTTCTGGAGAGAACAGGTCTGCAGGATGAACTGAACTGGCCTTGGGGCCACACTAGCTTCTGTACTTGACTTTCCAGGTTGCAGCTCAGGGTCTCAACCGAAGAGAGAAGAGCAAACCAAAGGAAGCTGAACTTCTGTGCCCCACCTAGGAGGGAGGTCAAGTCGTCTGCAGAGACACACAGGTTAGTTCTCACAGGCATTTGCTGCCAGGCTCTAGGGGCCCACACCTGCTGTTGCTTGTCCAGGTACTGGGCCCACTGGATTCCCACAGGGGGAGATGGCGGATGTGGGTGAGATGGGTGGAGAGACAAGGAGGGGGACCTGCGGGAGGGGGAAGAAAGATGCAATGTACTGAACTGGGAGCACTCAGGGAAATAAAGGATCTATTTTTTTCCATTTGTTCTCAGCAAACATTTGTCATTTAATTTCTTCCTAATTACACAATTACGTAATTATGTAGTATTAGTAAAATAAAGCCTAAAGACGTTTGAGTAAAGAATTACTTAAGTAAATAATGTCTGACTGAAGTAATTATTTCCTGGGTTTTCTATTTTAAAGTAGAATTGGATGAAATTGGCTCAGGCATTGTTGCAGAGCTGAGTGGGGGTGGGGGCTGTACAGGCACCGGTGGTCCCTGGGGTCTATCTCCCAGCATCAGAGCACCTTCCTCTCCCCATAGATGGGGCCACCTCCACTGTTGGCTAGGTGGCTCGGGAGCTAGCTTCTCTGGTGACTCACTTGGCCCCTCAGAGAGGGCACTTCCTATTGCCAGGGGGACAAGAAGACTCTGAGCAGCAGTGTGCCTCTGCCACACCAGGTTTACAGAGCTACCTGAGAGGCCACTGGCCCATGAAGAGATCACGTAGCCACTGTACCATCTTGGTGGTGATGTGGCAGCAGGGAGGGCAGCTCTGGGGTTAGGCTGCGGTCTGCCCGGGGGCACCCCAGAGGGAGCAGGCCTTCTGCCTTGCACACCTCGGGGAGCATGGGGTAGGAGCCCCGGCTGGACCTAGCTCTCAGGTGGACTTGGACCTGGCAGTGATAGAGGGGAGGGAACTACTCCTCTCAGAGGGTCAGGCCAGGCGTGGGGTTAAGGGAGCCTTGGTCGGGAGGTGAGGGTGCTGCTGCCATATTGTCTCCTCCTCCATGCTTAGCCCAGGTGGCCCTTTGCACGCCCGAATAGCTGCTCTCACACACAGGAGCCGGTTCCCACACTACAGAGATCTGTAACAAATTGGCTCAGCAGTGTCTTGTAGAAGGTGATTCTTGGGAAAACAGGCTGACCTCAGTCCCCTAAATTGTTCCCCTGGTCTTTCTTCCACAGTGCTTGGTAATCCTTCATAGCCGACTCCTTTGTTCTTTGCATCTGGACAGGGCTTCACTTTGTGAGAGTCTCCTATTTCGAAATAAGGAGACAGGGTAAATCCTCCAGTCTTACCAGCTCTCCTGAGGCAGCTCTGGAGTTTCTGGAGACATCACGTTCCCTGCTTATTCCTGGAGAAACCTCAATTCCAGGTACTGGCCCTCTGTGGCGAGGGTGGGATTGGGCATTGGGTAGGACTTGGGGGGCTGGGCATTGAAAAGACTGCAAGTTTGAAAGCTCAGATGAGGAGGTGGTGGAGACAGGCTGGCAAGGAAGCAGGCAGGTTTGTTAGTCTTTTCCTCAGGGTGGTGACTTTGGGCCTTTAGCGACTCACTGAGCCAATAGTAGCCTTTGAGAACACAAAGGAGGCTTCTGGAAAGTCACGGGAGCCGCAGGACATCACTGCAAAGGAATGCTGATCTGGTCCCCCAGGCCTAAACCCACAAGGTGTGTTAAAAAAGATCAGCTTTTCTTGTGGGGTTTATTCATTTCTCCTCTGAGTAGCAGAAGTTTGGCAACACGTAGTAAAGTTGGAGATTTGTTCCCAGCAAACTCCACTCTTAGGCATAACTCCCATATAACATTGAGAGAGATACAACCAAAGGAATCAAAGCAGGAAACAAAAAAAAAAAAAAAGGAAAGAAAGAACCTAAATTTCCATCAATAGGAGAATGGATAAATAAGTTGTCATTTCGTATTTCATTCAATTGAATTCTTTACAGTAATAAAAATGAATGAAGTTGAGCTGTGTGTATGAACATGGATGACTCCTACAAACAATGTGGAGCTAAAAAAACAAATTACTAAAGAATAGACAATATACATGGCAACACTGCTTATGAAAGTTGTAAATGATGCAAAATCATACTATGTGCATTTTAGGAATAATGCATAGGAATTTAAACACCAAATTCAAAAGAGTAAGAATAGGGGGCAGGAGGATTTAGGGGTTGGGAGGGAGGAAGGGAAGACAGTATTTGGGCATCCAACTTTTTTGAGGAATGTTTTCATTATGATACTATGAGATGGACACAAAGGTATCTATCAGATTCTTTAAAATGTTTGAATGTTTGAATTGAAGTACTTCATAAGAAGCAAAAATATAAAAATCCAAACAATTAAGGGCCCCTGTCAGCACTCCCCATAAGTATCAGAATGTGTATGTGCTTTTGTGTGTGTGAGTGTGTGTGTGTGTGTGTATGTTGGGCAATGGAGGAGGGGCTGATATTTGGGCCAAGAGTGCTGGAGAAGACTTCAAATAGACAGTCCACAGCTGGCTCCTAAGAAGTTTCCTGTGTTAAATACTTATTCAACAAAGTTCTCCTCCTCACATAATATTTGCCTACGTAAGGAGCTAAATATTCATTGAGTAATTAGCCAGTTCAAATTTGTGGTATAAAAAGACAATTCCTTCTAATTATAGGGATGTCAGTTAAAAGATGCCACACTCAGATGCCATTCACTGCCAAGAGAGATTTAATAAATTCTCTCTGTGATTCAGATTCAAAAAGGTAAAAAAGAAAAAAAAATACAGACACCATTATTTTTGATAATTAAATACTTACCAGAGCCGAGAAAATAAGTCACACTAATGTTCTAGGCTAATCAAAAGCTCTTTTTTAAAAGGTCCCTGTAGAAATATTGCTGTGGTCACAGATTTGCTGTCAGTCAGAGTTTCTGGGCTAACCCCAGCATCATGGCAGACTTTTCTGACTATCTGTAGCTGGCTCTGACCAGTCCTGACTCCAACCACAGACAGTCCTTAGGTATCCATCCCTCTTGGAGATGTCATTTAATTTGCATTACTTTCTGTTTTGCCATTGTAAATAGTTCCACTATGTATTTTTTCCCTACCTTCTCAATTCAGTTCTCAGTGTCATGACTGTAGAGCCTGGTCTTTTTTTAGGTGATAGAGTTGGGAAACTCAGAGCTATGTCATTTTTACTCCAACTTGCTTTACCTAAAGAAAGCTCAAAAAAAAAAAAATGACTTAATTTGTGTGTTAGCTGGTGTGGTAGAAATTGCACGCTGACTGCAGTCCCAACTCTGGTACTTCTCAACTCTGAGACTTTGACCGAGTGCTTCACTCTCTCTCAGTCTCAGTTTTGCTGCATGGTCAGCATGGGAACCATTCTGTCTCCACCTCTCCTCCTGGCCTTTCCCAGGGCACATGCCCAGGATCACAGTGGTTTGATCCAGGGATAGTACTTCATGCACACTGGGCCAATCTAAGAATTTTGCCGTGACTGAGGAAGCCAGTCAGATTCCTGTCTAGTTAAAGATGCTATAGAATAAGAAGTTAAGAAACACCCTAATTGTAATGTGTCACTTCAGATTGGATTTGACTGTGTTTAAATAGTCTGCTCCTCTCCCCTGCCTCCATGCCACAAAAAAAAAAAAAAACCTAAACAGAAAGCAATGGCTAAAGCAAAATAGATATGCATGTTGCTGTCATGTGATAGAAGTCCAGAGGTAGCAGTGACAGGCAGGGCAGAGAACTCCTTAGATCAGACTACTAACTTTCTGCTCTTCATCCTCAGTGTGCATTCCCAGCTTCAGTCACCTCTGGTTCCAATAAGGATGCAGGAACATCAAAGATATCTTTGCATTCCAGGCAGCTGGAAACACAAAAGGAATTAAAAGAGCAAGCCTCTCCATTGTTTGTGTGTGTGTGTGTGTGTGTGTGTGTGTTTAAGTTTTAACTCTGCTTATACTTTATTGGACAGAACTGAGTCATGTGGTCAAGCCTAGCTGCAAAGAAAGCTGGGAAATGTAGTCTTTAAGCTGGGAACATTTACTGCCCTAAATAAAACAGACACTGTCACGAGGGAAGAAAAACTAAATATGTCTTGGATTAGGTTACTAATACTCTCTGCTACCTTGAGTAAGTCTGCTATATGGATGAAGCTGGTCTGTTGTGGCATGTTTGCATTTGCCACTATATTATAAAATATATTCAGGATCCTGTTAATAAATTTCTTCCTTATTTCCTTTCACATAAAAAAAGATGTCAGATTCTTACAACTAAGGGTTGCCTTGATATTTCTTTCTAAGACCTCTTTACAGCTCCATGTCTCACTGGGCTTGGGAAATAGAGTGATTTACTGGTCTTCACAAGTGTTTTCCAGAGTCCTCAATTCATTCACAGAGTCACATGAAAAGCTGACAGGGAGGGACCCTAACAGATCTTATTGGCATACTGATGACTTAAATTAGAGAAAGGGCTTCTGTGTAGGTTGTCTTTGCCTTCTTGCCCTTTGAGCTATTTGCCTTCTTTTTCAGGTCCTAAAGCCAAGGCTCCTGGGCTCGCTCCTGGAACATTGCAGAGAACTTGGAGTTGGTTTCCGCTTCCTCATTTCTTCCAGTGTTGTCTAAAATTATTGTCCTTTTTCTTTTCCACCCAAAAGTGTTCAGAGAGGACCTGAGCTTCAGAGATTCAAGCTGGAAAACGGCTTCGTTCCCTGCTGCCTGGCACGACCTCAGGGGATATTTCTAGGTAATTAGACCACCTGCCTGGGTAGTGCCAGGCATCTGCACACCCTTTCCATCTGTCAGAGAGCACGGTGGGAAAAAGGGGAGAGGCTTTCCTTTGGAGCTCCTCTGGGGAGTCACCTCTACCATAGCCCTGGTAACATCTAATCTGGGGTTCAGTTGACTCTGGAGTCTGTGGGGAGGAGGAGCAGGCATCCTAATTATTAAAACAAAAAGAAACAACAAACAAATAAATTCAGTGTGTTAGTCCCTTTGGGTTGCTATTTTTAAAAATGCCCATAGACTGGGTAGCTTATAAATAAAGAAATGTATGTCTCACAGTTCTAGAGGCTGGGAAGTCCAAGACTGCCAGATTCAGTGTGGGGAGGGGGATGCTGCCAGGTAAATGGAAAGCTGCCTCCTCATTGTGTCCTCACCTGGCCGAAAGAGTGAGGACGCTCTCTGAGGCTTCTTTTGTAAGGGCACAAATTCCCTTCATGAGGGCTCAGGCCTCATGACCTAATCACATCCAAAGGCCCCACCTCTGAATACATCACTTGGGGGTGAGGATTTCCACATATGAATTTCAAGGGGGACACAAATATTCAATCTATAGCAGTCAGCAAGTGTCTAAAAATAGCCAATCCTCATGCCCCATTCCAGGGAGGCTGGGGGTGGAGCTCAGAGCTGATCACGGGAAACATGCAAGGGCAGGTCATTGTGGTTAGTTGACAGACATTCGAGAATGCATTTCATGCTGAGTCTATGGGTAAAAAATACTTCCCTATGAGCTAATTTTATTACTGCAATGAACCTCATCTCTATGAGTCAGAAGGTCACCCTCTGTAGCCATCATGTGGCTGGGAATCAGAGAAAAGTGGAATCAACAGGCCTCCAGAGGTGATTTTGTACACCTCCTGTCTCAATGCAATTAAATCCAATTGGTTAACACCTAACAATCATTGAGTACTTGTCATCTGCAAGCTCCATGCCAAGGGCACTCATTCCTTATGTAATCCTCCCAACAACCCTCTGAGTTTATTTCCATTCCATTTTAACAGACAGGAAAACCGAGGGCCAGAGTTACCCCAGTGAGTCGTCAGAGCTGGGATTCCATTTCAGCTTTAGATTGATTCCCAAGGCTAGCCTCCCTTTCCTCGAGCTCTATGACCTTCTGTGATGTACTGGAGGTCCACAGGTGCCTGGAACTTGTGGTTTCTAGATGCCACTGGCCCGACCAGCTTGGTCTGGAGGTGGCCATAACCATCTCTAGGGAGGCCTGCTTTATGCTTCCCTGGCTAATTAACTCTAGTGTGTCATCACCCAGAGTGAACAAAAAGTGATCCCATGGAAATATAATGTGACCCACATATATATTTTACAAATTCTAGTAGGCATGCTAAAAACCAAAAGAAAAGAGAGAGAGAGAGAGAAACTGGTATCATTGTAACACAGGCTGTCTACATAAAATATTTAAGTAATCACATTACAGTGGTACATCAGCGCATAGAAAAATATCACTCAAACTACATCAATTCATTGACACTGACATGGTCAGTGATTTTTTTTATGTGTTTTAATACTAGAAATGACATCTTTTCCTGACATGTGTATTACAGCACAACAATAATATATTAGGGGGTGTGATGGTTACAGCAGAATGTATTCCTATCAAAACAATAAAGTTCTCCCTGATTCAAAAATGTTTTCACTGACTTCACTTTTTTTTTTTTTTTTAATACTAGCAATTGAACCCAGGGACATTTAACCTCAGAGCTGTATTACCAGCCCTTTTTATTTTTGATTTTGAGACAGGATCTCTCTAAGTTATTCAGGTTGACCTCAAACTTGCAATCCTCCTGCCTCTGCCTCTCAAGTCTAGTGGATTACAGAAGTATGCCACCACGACCAGCCTGGCTTTTTAATTAAAACTAAATAGAATTAAAAACTCAGTCCCCCAAGCGCGTTGGCCATTTTTCAAGTGCTTAGTAGACACCTGTGGCTAGTGGCTACGGTATCCGACGGTGTCGTTCGGGCATCTCACTGAAATTCTTCCTGATGGAAATGCACTTAATGTGTCCTGAGCAGAGGGAAGAGAATCTGTACAGGGGAGGAGTAGAGAATGAGGCCCCGGTGGTGCGGGTGTCCATGGGAAAGGTCAACAAACCATTGTCAGTTTTCAAAACAGAGATCAGATAAGAGGAATGAGCCCCATCTGGATGCGCTGGACTGAATGGGTGGTGGGGACACGGATTAGAGACTGGGGGACCCCCATTCTCCGAGAGGGGAGACAGTGCAGCCCTGAAGTTCAGTGGTAGCAGCCAGAAAAGGAAGAATATGTGTGAGAACCCAGCGCAGAGTCGCTCTGGGTCAGTGGTTGGATGCATAAAGGGAACATGCAAGGGGGAAGAGTTGAAGGCTTTCAGCCTTGGACAGCATCTAATGATGATCCACAGACGGAAAGAGGGAAGTCAGAGGGAAGCTTGCAGGACCGTGGGGAAGTGACACTCACAGCTCAGCTCACCACAGAGTTTGGTGGTGATGTCTCCCGTGGTCTTGCCTCATCTTTTCTCCTCCTCCCTTATTTCTTTGTCCTTCTTCCACTCTTCCCTCACTTCTCTTGCCTGCCCCTTTCTTCTCTTGAAGTGAAAAATACAGGAATGGAGCATCTATCCTACCCACCAGCTTAAGGGGGTACTTCCCAGGCCCGAGGAAGAACCACAGAGTTTGTGAGCACTTCTTCATCAGAGACAACAAAATAGATGCCCTCTTTGACACACGTCCTTCTGCGGTGCCTGGCATCCCTGTTGGAATTTGGCCTGACGTGGAGAGTAGGGGTGGCTGGAGGGAGTGAAGGTCCCATAGTTTCCTTTTGTTGATGGTATGTAGGAGCATAATTCCACCTAGTTGCGACTAACATTCCACTCATGACCATTTCCCATTTCTCGGGTGAGGAAAGTAAGATACGGAGTTATCAAATAATTAAGCTGAGGAAACACCTCTGGTAAGTGTTGGGGCAGGATCTGACTGGTGCAGCTGTGCTGAATACCCACCATGGCTAGGTGAAAAGTGGCAGTCCCCTACCACCTGTGAGCATTCCTGTCCTTTCTAGATCTTTCTCAAGGGCAGGCTCTTCACAGAGTGGGCAGCTCTTATGAGACATCTGGGAGGTTTCCTCTTTCACAGGTGGAGTTGGTGGCCTGGTGGAGTTGGTGGCACTGTGAGGTGGGAAGCAAAGGGACTGACTTCCTTCTTCCTACTAGTGGAGCGAAAGGCAGGAGGGGGACATGCTCCTTAAGTGTCTTTTCTCATTATTCATCAAATGACTGCTCCTGGGGATCTGTTTTTCTGCTATACATGCTGTGTTTTGAATGTGTTGTTCTAATATAGTCACCTACTTGCAACTACATAACAAAAAAACAAAAAAGCCCTCAAATAAAATAGGAGCTGGGGGGAGGCAATGGGGAGAAGAGGAGATGGGAAATATAGTACTGCTGCTCTACAACCACTCAGGGGATTTACTCCGGGCTTTCAGAGCCAAGTGAATATTGCTTATTCATGTGCGATCTAATCCTCCTCTCAGCCCAGAGGCTGAGGGCGGCAGGGGTGACTTGGTTGCAGAGGGGCAAGGCAAAGGTGGAGCGTGGGCTTTATGTGGTGCACCGGGTTTTACAAGCTCGGAAGGGCTGGAGTTGGAAGAAATTGGTCCTTGAATGGCTTGGATGGGTGCAGGGGGTAAGGATGGGGAGGGAGTAATCCTGGAGTGGAGGTGGGTTGAGGAGCAGATATGGGATTCCTTGATGAGCCAAGAAAGTGTTGTGGCTCAAACACCTGGGGGACAGAAAGTCCAGGATCCTTCCACCATACCCTGCTTGGGAGGAGGCTGAGCTGCAGATTGATGTGCGTTTCCAGGCAGAGAATGTCTTAATAACCCAACTCACGGGTGATGGATGTCAGAGGAGGAGCAGCGGAGCTATGGCTTGGCCACCCCAAAGCTCCAACTCGATCACATGCGATAATTCACTCCGGGGCATGGGGAAGGAGAAGATTTCCCAACTGCGGCTAACCAGTGTTGAAGACCTAAAAACAGCCACTTGGGACTGCTTTTATGTTCAGCTGTCGGCTTAGAAGCAAATGGCTAAGGGAACCTGGACACGGATCAAACAAATGTGCTGGGAACCGCATGCAAGGCACAGTGCTGCTATTATTTCCCGCTGAGGGCCTGTGTGCCCAGCCTGCTCCCCTCCAGCCGCACAGGAGGAGAGCATCAGAAGAGGGGGAGACCTCTCTGAAACATCTGATGGGGCCACACTGCAGCTGGCCTGGGTTGGGGGAACAATTCCAGCACAGAGACACCATGGAGTGGCAGGCTGTCACCTCTGTAGGGCACAATGACTGAGCAAGAGAGAAAAAGTGGCCCTTTCTTTGACCCCGTGGAAGCTCAGGGACTGGTGGCAGGAAGCCAGCTCTCTCCCCACTGGGCCTGGATTAGAGGAGAGCCTTGTTTTCTACAGGGAAGGGAAGGGTCCCTCGGGTCACTGGGCAAATGGAAAGAAGACCTCTTCCTTACCAATCCCTCAGTTTCGCCACCCCCAGCAATGACTTTGTTTAAATCAAAAGCTGAGTTGGTACAGAGGCTAGGATCCTGTGTTGGTTCTAACCCTGAAGAGGTGTTCTGCCACCTTCCCAGGGACAGAAGGTGTAATGAGAGTAATAGAAATAGCAGCAGATATCCTTGGAAAATGTTTGCCATGCACCAGGCATTGTACTGCCTGTTTTGGGAATGTTAGTCACATTTAATTCTCCAACAGTCCTGGGCATGGGCGTATTCCTCCTCTGATCTCACAAACACTCCAACACATTCCCCAGGATCAAAGTGTCTTGGAACGCTCACTCAAAATAAACTCAGGTAATTTCTGAGCAGGTGTGTTATTTTGGGTTGGCTCCAGGTGCATTATTAATTTATTGAGACCTTTATTGGCCGGCTAATGGCAGGTGGGGAGGAAAAACAGTCAAGCAACTGAACAGGTGAGAGGTGATATGACACCTGATGAGGAGTTTCAATACTGTAGCAACACCACGTATTTTATAAACAGTAGATGGTCCTTATGGAGACATTCTAAGCTGGCAGAAGCACATGAGTAGTAAACATTCTTAGATTCACTTT